TAAAATAATTTAAATTTCATCAGGAGACTCAAACATTGTAAATTACTGCTGAGAAGTTCCACTGAGCGCTTTTTATTTTGTTTTCCAAGATAGAGTTTCTCTGTAGTTTTGGAGCATCTCCTGGATATGGCTCAGTAAACCTGGCACCATCACTAGGTCCATTCAAAAAAAACTAGAAGAGGCAGGCGGATCTTTGAGTTCGAGACCAGCCTGGTCTACAAAAGCTAGTTCCAGGACAGGCTCCAAAACCACAGAGAAACCCTGTCTCAAAAAAAACCAAAAAAAAAAAAAAAAAAAAAAAAAAACCTAGAAATCCAGCTGGTTGCTTATACAAACAGAAACCGTCATAAACTTTCCCTAGTCTTCCTCATATTTCTTATGGCACTTTCACACTGAAGAAAGTTTTCTAACAGCCGGTAAATAACCTTAACACAAGTAAGTGTGTGAGCTACCAAAAATCCTCCCTACACACTGTAAGTTGCAGTCCATTAAAAGCCTAACTTTAAACCACAAAAACAGGGGAGAGCGCGAACGTAGTCCCCCAGAACCACAAACTATGCAGTCGAGTTTCCCGCATTTGGGGAAATCGCAGGGGTCAGCACATGCAGAGTGCAATGGATAAGCCTCACCCTGGGAAGGCCACCTTCGGGAGCACGGTATCTCCCCTGCCAGGTAAGTATAAATTGTGCAGGCCTCAGTTCTACTTCAACCTGATCATCGACACACTATTAAGTCACGGTCAATTATATTACAAATTCCTTTGCCCTTTCTCTCGAGACTACACACGTTTGTAAGTTATACAGATAAGAGCACACACTTTTACACACTTGCTAAATATATTTCCGTGCAAAAAAGTACTAGAACATAGACCTGCTTTGGATTATCTGCATATCCCCGCCCCTTTTAGTGACGTTTTCCTCTCCAGGTTTTCTCCTTCGCATTTCTCTTCCGGTTGCATTAACTCTTAAACCACTCCTCCCTACCACCACAACGGTAAAGAGATTTCACACTTTTTCTTGCATCTTTTGCTGTTAACAAAAGCTTCGGTATGGGTTTATCGTGAAGTGTCGGAAGACTGCTCTCAAGAAGGCAGCAAGATAGGTTGTTGTAAGTCAGAATCGCTGCTGTTTTTAAGAGAATCAATCAAATCCTCGGTGTTTCTATTTCCCAAAATTGCCAAGAGAATTCTGTCAACCACAAAATTTCCATGAGGACTGAGTACTTGTCAAATGTTGCCCGGATTTAAATCGACTCTTGTCACAAAACATGCAGCCCCGGAGTGCGCTGACTAGTGTGGGGCTGGAGACATTGTTTTGCTGCTCTTGGCAGGGAAGTCTGAGTTTGGTTCCCAGCACCCATGTCAGACTGCACATAGAACTTTATAAAAGCGTGTGGGACCTTTTGTGAGCCTGCAGTACCTTCACAGACCAAAAGAATACTTCCACCCATTGCAACCAGAGCTAAAAACAAACTAGCCAGGCCAATTAAATGCTCTCATTGAAACTTAAAAGGAACAAATAGGAAATGGGGTTTGAGAGATGGCTCAGCAGTTAAGGACTTTGCCGGCTCCTCCAGAGGTCCTGAGTTCAATTCACAGCAACCAGATGGTGGCTCACAATCATTTATAGTAAGATCTGATGCTCTCCTCTCCTGGTATGTACGCTCTATGTGTAGATAGAGCACCATATACATAAAATAAATAAATCTTTAAAAACAAACAACACTCCTAAGCTTCACAAAGTCTTGCCGGCAGTAACCTATTTTCAAAACTAAAAATGTCAGGGAAAAAACATGAAACAGCTTCCCTCAACTACTAAGTTTAATTCTCACAACTTTCAGGTAGGAACAAGAATTGTCCTCTCTTCGTGGAAACAGCATGATGAAATTACTAAGGAATGCTATCCTGTGCCAACTTTATTTTTTGTCTACCTGATCACTTCTCAGTCTTCCACCTCGAGCAGATACCTCCACCCTGGCAACAAACACTTCAGGATTGCCCATGACCTTGGTTGTAGTCCAAATTATTACATAGTGTCTGGAAGACACATCTGAACCTTGCAAAGAAAGCAACTGTTAACAGGACACTCTAAATCTCTCACTAATGTAACCCGCCTCCCCCGAGCACTGATGTAATTCAGTTTTGTCTTTAAAAACGCTGTAGTCCTAGCTTGAACACGGAGAGATTCCCCAGAGGCAGGAGCCTGTTCTTGCCATTACTGAAAAAGGACTAAAGCTGGGCAGTGGTGGCGCACACCTTTAATCCGAGCACTCGGGAGGCAGAGACAGATGGACCTCTGTGAGTTCCAGACCAGCCTGGGCTACAAACTGACTTCCGGGACAGGCAGGGCTGTTGCACAGAGAAACCCTGTCTCAAAAGGCAAACAAAAAAGAAATTACTATACTATCTGAAGCGCTACAAAAGGGAAAGAAACTAGGTATGGGTAAGCTGAGAAAGAACATACAGCACAGTAAGTCATAAAGATGTGTGCATCGGGGCCATCCACGGACATGTTCAGGTCATTGTCCTCCTTTACTGCAGTTGTTTAAAAATTGTTTAATATTCTGACATAAAGTTACGAAAGTAGTAAGTATTATAGGTCAATAGTCATTCATGTTTGTTATACATATAGTCAGATTAATTAGGTTCTAATTTAGATGCATAGAGATTGTATTCTGCATACATAGGTAATGTTCAACCGTGTCAAGGATCTGTAAAACATGGCATTTAAATAACTTAGGGTTCTGTTGACGTGAGACACAACTGTTACTGACAGCACCAATCTATTCCCGAAAAAGTGTTGAACACCAAAGACACTCCACTTGGAGTTTGTTTTCTTCTTGGCACAATTGGCCTTTGGGTAAGGAACTGCCCATGCCTCAACCACTGACAAAGTCTATGGTGTCCGGACTAAATAAGCAGGACACAAGAAAAAAGACTGCCAAACCTTGCCAAGACAGGGTAAGAAGGTTCTAAAAATTTTCCTGCCTCTAAAAATGGTCTGTCGGTTACGCTAGGCCTTAGCCAAAGTTGGTTGCTTCCACACTGCAAATGAGACTTTGGGTGATTGCTCAGGTAGCCAGTTGTCTCCGTCATATACTGCTCCCTTTGGAAGCTGCTTGATTGCACTTCCTGCCTGCTCAAGTAATATAATCTCCCTTCTCAGGCCTTCGATGGGGTTGAAGATTAGATAGTCATGGTCACATTCCTCTTATGATCTAGGTATTTCCAGCGCAAGACTTAGACCCGTTAGAATAGAATGTTTAATAAAACATTTGTCATGTGTTCCTTGATTAATATTGCTCATAATGGTTGTAATCTAATTTTAAACTTGATATCTGTTCCTAGTGTATATTATAGTTTTGTATTGGGTTTGGAACTCTTTTATTTAGACAAAAGGGGAAGGTGATGGGGACCTCTGTCAGTCAATGACCTTTAAGAGGTTGGACCAGGTTAGGACATGACCTTCTGGTTACCCAGAAAAAAAAAAAACTGGCCAGTCCAGGGTTCTTGCTTTCTGGTTCCCTCGCTACATAGCTGAGGTTGGCTTTCTTGTTCCTGTTTTGTGAGTTTGCCCCTTATAATAAAGAAAATATAATTAAAATATTTTAAAGTTAGCCTGAGATTCTTTGACCCGCATCCTCTCCCATCAACAAAATGGCACTGTATGTTAAACACAGTTAAAACTGTTAATATATTTCCTTGATATTTTGCCTAAAAAAAAGAAAAAACCTGTTAATATAGCGAAACTACTGGTACTGAGATCTGACCCTGTACAGGCAGGTTGCGACTTGTGGAAGAGGATGACTGTGAATGTATGAGCCTTTTACTTCTACCTCCCTGGTATTTATTTATTTATTTATTTATTTATTTATTTATTTATTGTGTATACAATATTCTGTCTGTGTGCATGTCTGCAGGCCAGAAGAGGGCACCAGACCTCATTACAGATGGTTGTGAGCCACCATGTGGTTGCCGGGAATTGAACTCAGGACCTTTGGAAGAGCAGGCAATGCTCTTAACCACTGAGCCATCTCTCCAGCCCCCTCCCTAGTGTTTGAACTACAGTTGTGCACGCCTTACACCCAACTTCATTATAACTTATGACTTAGAGCTCACGTTGTTGGAGGGATGGCTCAGTGGTTAACAGCACTTGTTGCTCTTGTAAAGGACCAGGGTTCAAGTGCCAGAACCCACATGTGGTGTGTCACATACAAATAGCCTTTAACTGTAGTTCTCGAGTATCTGATGCCCTCTTCTGACTTCCTTAGGTGCATCTGGTGCACATGCATGTAAACAAAACAGTTAGACACACAGAATTAGAAAGTTAGAACTCAAAAAAAAGTTAGAACACATCTTTTTACTTATTTTTTCAGTGTTGATTTGAAGCCAGTAACTTGAACATGTTAGGCAAAGGTTCTACTACCAACCCATAGCCTACTCCATTCCCCCTTTAAGATTCCAGTCTTGCTGGGCGGTGGTGGCCCACGCCTTTAATCCCAGCACTCGGGAGGCAGAGGCAGGCGGATCTCTGTGAGTTCAAGACCAGCCTGGTCTACAAGAGCTAGTTCCAGGACAGGCTCCAAAACCACAGAGAAACCCTGTCTCGAAAAACCACAAAAAAAAAAAAAAAGATTCCAGTCTTAATCGGGTACTCTGTATGGCCTCAAACTTGAGACAATCTTCCTCACCTCTGCCTTCCAAATGTTTACAAGCCAGAAACTGGACAAATCAGTAAAAGTGTCACTCAGATTACTGTTTTCTTTTTTAAGACTGTATGTATGTGTGTATACAGTGTTCTGTGCCTGTAGGCACGAGACATGTGGTTGCTGGGATTTGGAGAACCTCTGGAAGAAGACAGTGCTCTTAAACAACACTGTGAAAAAAGCACACCTAAATTATCAAAACGCTTATCTGACTAAGTTCCTGCTGGTATAGGAAAACTCAAAAGCAGTTACGTTCAACTAGACAGCTAAGAAAATAGTACCACTTCTGCACAAAAAGAGTACATACTTAGAGTCTAACTTTGAAGCACAAAATCGGGAGATTACCGGCATTAGGGGAAATCGCAGGGGTCAGCAAATACAGGGTGCAATAGATAAGCCTCGCCCTGGGAAAACCACCTTTGTATTCGTGGTACCTGCCTGCCGGGTCAAAATAAGTTTCCAGCTTCATGAAGCCTGAACAACCTGGTGTGCGTAGCATTTCAAAGATACGGTGCAAACTTAAGCCCTTATTAAAAAGCTCTATATCCGATGGCTGCTATGGCATTGTTTCCCACAGTTACAGAAGCTTCTCATGAGTCTATTTCAGCAGTGGGGAGAACGGACAGGACACGTTTATAATCACATGTGTCACCGATTTCCACACAAATCCAGACACTCTTCTTGGATCTTAACAAGGCTTTAGCATGGTTCTGAAAAATTTAAATCCTTAACTCTTTACAAAATACTTTTTATTTGTTCTTTGAGAATTCTATAAATGTAGTGTAATATATTTTGATCAGGTCCATTGCTACTCACTCCCGCTCCCCTAGGACCTGTCAGTACATTCTTCTTCCAACTTCATGCCACCCTCCTCCAACTCCTTCTTCTTCCTCCTCTTCTGCCTCCTCCTTTTCTTCTTCCCTATAACCTCTATTGCTGCCTAGATGTGCATACTGTAGGGCAACCCACTGGAGCATGGGCAACCTCCCAGTGGCTATATCTCCAAAGAAAAATCTCCTTCCTCAGCAATAGCTTCTTAGAATGAGATGAGCTCTCAAGAGCCCCCTCCTGTCTGTGCTGGAACTTTGACTAGCTTGCTCTTAGGAGGGTTTCTGTAGGTAACTATCACAGCTGTGATTTCATGAGTGCAATGGCTTTGTCACACCCAGAAGACAGGTGTCACAGCACTCCTATCCATCCTCTAGCTCTGTGTCTGTGAAGTTCCCTGAGCCTTGGGCGAGTGCAACAGTTACATATGTCCCATTTAGGGATAAGCACTCAACAGTCACTAATTCTCAGCATTTTGGCCAGTATGAGCCTCTGTATTAACTGATGCCCATTGCAAGACTGTGGTAGCAGCAAAGGTCAATGACCAAGGCTGAGAACAGCAAAGCTCTATAGATAGAAACTTAAATGTTTAGAAGGCAGTTTTCCAATATGACCATTTATCAAAACAACACTAGCAGGTTGCCCTGCTAGAACCTGAGATCCTCCTAGCCTTGTGCTCTTGACCAGGTTTGTAACATCAGCTATGAATTCCCTCCTGTGGGGGTCTCAAATAGCAGCCATCGGAGACCACAGAACAGGCCTGAAATGCTCTAAAACTCCACAGAGTTTCCACCAGTTGGCATCCGAAACTCATGGGTCCTCTTTGTATTTGGCCTGAGTCAGAGGTAACTCATTGAGAAAAACTCAATTCCCAGGACATCTATCAAAAACAGGCAGCAGAAATCACTTAAAGCTGTAACTACCCAAAGCAGTGAAGCCAACTGAGTCAAAAAGGAAGATGGCTAAAACCTGTACCACAAACATCTTGGAATACATTGCCAGAGGGAGCTTTCAAGTCTACAGGATGTTGCTGGAATTTGAGAGGGCCACAACCAGGTGCAGAGTTGTGGGCATCTCTCAGAAATGTCTAAGAGAATCTTAGGCGGTCTGTGAGACTCTGAGCAAGCAGGCAGAGAAAGCAGACAGAGCTGTAAAGGCCCTGAGCACTGAGTGTGTGTCCTGATACATATACAGGACACCTTGACAAAGGATGGAAGACTTACTGCCCAAAGAGTTTAAGGAAACCATTGTCCAATCATATAACTGAAATGGACACTTAGAAACTGCTTCTCCCAAAAAGCATGCACTCCTCATGTGAGTCTACAAGATAACAGGAAGAGAGTCCCCGTGTCTCTTTCTTCATGTTGCCTCTGTCTCCTTTGGTTTGGTACAGAGAAAAGTCATTGTCCTTGACTGTCCCTCTTGAGCCATCTTGGACTCTCAAAACAACAAACCTCAGAGGACAGGCCACACCCATTGCAGAGCAAGCATCCACAACGGTGATACCACATCCTGGAAAAGAAGTAATCATCTCCTAAGAACCACCTTCTCTCCTCAAGTGGTCAGGACTTCTTTGGAACACCTTGCAGAAACTGAGTAGGGGCAGTGATCACAGCTGTATCAGCACAGCCTTGTTATAAATATCTCTTGCTCCCTGTTCTACCCTTCTTCTATTTAAAACAATAGCTCATATCAATGCCCTAATGACTTTGGGTCATTGGGCCTCTTCAAAAAAAAAAAAAAAAGCTCTATATCTTAATGTGTTGTGGTTTCCAACATTGAAAAACTCTTACGAACGTTGGCGGTCTTGTAATTTTCCCAAAACTACACTCCAAAAATCAGAACTGTGGAAGTAGCGGCTTCTCCCAGTAGGCTCCTGAATTCTCTACCTACATAGCACCGCCTCCACAGTGACTCACTTCCGACGTCAGAATCCCGACATCGGAAGCCCGCCTCCTTGTCAGCAAGAATACCAATGAGCCTATTAGGTGGTAGTTTGCTGTGCCCTTTGCTTTGCAGCCTCCTAGAACACTGTAGGAATTTTCTCTCATAAACGTAGGAATCGAATGCATAGCTTTTAGTGTGAATCAAGATTAAGTGTAACAACCTGATAGAAGAGAAAGTGGGAAGTACTCTACAACACATGGGCACAGGAGACCACTTCCTACGTATAACCCCAGCAGCACAGACATTAAGGGCCTCATTGAATAAATGGGACCTCCTGAGACTGAGAAGCTTCTGTAAAGCAAAGGACACTAAGACACAAAGGCAACCCACTGACTGGGAGAAGATCTTCACCAACCCCACAACTGACAAAGGTCTGGTCTCCAAAATATATAAAGAACTCAAGAAACTAGACCGTAAAAGGCTAATCAACCCAATTATAAAATGGGGCAATGAGCTGAACAGAGAATTCTCAACAGAAGAAGTTCAAATGGCCAAAAGACATTTAAGGTCATGCTCAGCTTCCTTAGCGATCAGGGAAATGCAAATCAAGACAACTTTAAGATACCATCTTACACCTGTCAGAATGGCTAAAATAAAAAACACCAATGATAGCCTTTGCTGGAGAGGATGTGGAGAAAGGGGTACACTCATCCATTGCTGGTGGGAATGCAAACTTGTGCAACCACTTTGGAAAGTAGTGTGGCGGTTTCTCAGGAAATTCGGGATCAACTTACCCCTGGACCCAGCAATACCACTCTTAGGAATATACCCAAGAGAGGCCTTATCATACAACAAAAGTATATGCTCATAGCAGCATTGTTTGTAATAGCCAGAACCTGGAAACAACCTAGATGTCCTTCAATGGAAGAATGGATGAAGAAAGTATGGAATATATACATATTAGAGTACTACTCAGCAGTAAAAAACAAAGACTTCTTGAATTTTGCATGCAAATGGATGGAAATAGAAAACACTATCCTGAGTGAGGTAAGCCAGACCCAAAAAGAGGAACATGGGATGTACTCACTCATATTTGGTTTCTAGCCATAAACAAAGGACATTGAGCCTATAATTAGTGATCTTAGAGAAGCTAAATAAGGAGAACCCAAAGAAAAACATATAGGCATCCTCCTGAATATTAACCTTCATCAGGCGATGAAAGGAGACAGAGACAGAGACCCACATTGGAGCACCAGACAGAAATCTCAAGGTCCAAATCAGGAGCAGAAGGAGAGAGAGACACAAGCAAGGAACTCAGGACCGCGAGGGGTGCACCCACACACTGAGACAATGGGGATGTTCCATCGGGAACTCACCAAGGCCAGCTGGCCTGGATCTGAAAAAGCCTGGGATAAAACCGGACTCGCTGAACATAGCTCGCTGACAATGAGGACTACTGAGAACTCAAGAACAATGGCAAAGGGTTTTTGATCCTACTGCACATACTGGCTTTGGGGGAGCCTAGGCAGTTTGGATGCTCACCTTACTAGACCTGGATGGAGGAGGGTGGTCCTTGGACTTCCCACAGGGCAGGGAACCCTGATTGCTCTTTGGGCTGACGAGGGAGGGGGACTCGACTGGGAGAGGGGGAGGGAAATGGGAGGTGGTGGCGGGGAAGAGACAGAAATCTTTAATAAATAAATAAATTAAAAAGAAAAAAAGATTAAGAGTAACAACAAAAACAGCTGCAATGACAGCAGCACGCAGGGACCATTCGTTCCTTTACATATTACAACAAATTTAATCTCTGCAAGTTATAAGGCAGTTACTTCTATCATCCCCATCTTTACAGATATGAAAATGGGTTCACAATGGTCAGCTTTCATTTTTGGGGGCGGGGGCAGGGAGTGGTTTGAGACAGGATTTTTCGGTGTAACAGTCCTAGCTGTCCTGGAACTCCCTCTGTAGACCAAGCAGGCCTCAAATTCACAGAGATCTGCCTGCAAATAGTGTTTATTCATTATTTAATCCATACTAATAAATTAAATACAATTAAATAATTAAATATAATTAAAATAAATGTTAAGAAAAAATGAGAATATGCTCGTGGTAGAGCATGTCTTACCTACACACTGCACCCTGCTCTTAAAGATGGGGGGGGGGCTGGAGAGATGGCTCAGTGGTTAAGAGCATTGCCTGCTCTTCCAAAGGTCCTGAGTTCAATTCCCGGCAACCACATGGTGGCTCACAACCATCTGTAATGAGGCCTGGTGCCCTCTTCTGGCCTTCAGGAATACACACAGACAGAACATTGTATACATAATAAATAAATAAATAAATATAAAAAGAAAAAAGATGAGGAGGGGATCTGTTTACAGGCTATCGGCTCAGAGAAGACTAGCAGGGCATGACAGAAAAGGACTCTGGACTCCACTCTACAGTTTACATTGGCTGCCAAGGTTTCCCTGGAGGAGAATGAGGACTCTGTTTATAGCACCGGAAACAGTTTAGACGAGAAGTGAAGGAGACGTCTATCAGAGATCAGCCACAGAAAAGGGGGACCTATAGCATAGGCTCCTGGATTTAGAAGCATTCCGCAAATACTTAATTTAATATTCTGCTATTAATCCTTTTCTTTTCTTATTATGTAGCTCAGGTGCTGTGTTAAAATGGGGGATTCTCTCACCTTAGCTTCCCAAGTCCTGGGACTACAGGATTCCTGGTGTGACATTAGGCATTCCACACACACACACACACACACACACACACACATACATACACACACACATACATACACACACACACACACATACACACACACATACACACATACACACACACATACACACACACATACACATACACACATACACATACACATACACATACACACATACACACACATACACACACATACACACACATACATACACACACATACATACACACACACATACACACATACACACACACATACACACACACATACCCATACACACACATACACACACACACATACACACACACATACACACACGAGGCATTTTTTGCTTTCTGGTCTCTCAAGCACAGTAATATTAACCATCACGATACATGACTATTTTCTTTTCAAAAGCTTGAATGAGGGGTTTCTAGCACCCATGGCAGGATACACCCACATGTAGCTCCAGATCCAGGGGACCCATCATGCTTGTGGCTTCTGTAGGCATCTATACTCACATGTGCACATTCTCATACACAGACTCCCACATACACACAGTTAATTTAAAAAATCCAAACCAATAATGTTATTATTATTACACACCAACTAGAATGAATACAATCCATAAAAGTGGGGTTTGGAATAGAAATCAGTGGTAGAATGCGTATCTAGTACTCAGAGGGTTGTGGATGTAGAGAAACAGAACCTTATGTTTACTGATGAGAATGTAGAGCAGCAGTCATTTGAAAACACAGTTCAACAGTTGCGGAAAAAGTTGTCATATACTTCCAAATGATGCGGTCACTCCATTTCTACATATCTTCTCAAGAGAAATTTCGAATGTATGTTTACGGAATGACATATATGCAAACTAAGCTATTTTTATTAACTATTATTATAGTCCCGAAAGACCAGGCATTTAAAAGGAGTCCTGTATTTATACAGTACATTACATTCAGTTATATAAAAAGAAAATATCTGTAGGGTATGGTAACACACCCCTTTAATCCCTGCATTCAAGAGGCAGAGAGGCAGGGGATCCCTCTGAGTCCAGGGCCAGCCTGGTCTACATAATGAGTTCTGTATCAGCCATGACTACGTAGTAAAACTCTTGTCTAAAAAAAGGAACTTGCAACACAGGTGACATCGTGCATGAACCTCAAAATATACTAAGTGAAAGGATCTGTATAGACTACAAACTACGTGATGATTGTTTTAAATAAAATATTAGGAAAGGCAGAAATACTAACAGAGTGGTAATCAATTGTTTTCTGTGGCTGGGTTTGGGACATGAAAACTAGTGTGCAAATTCTCATGGGGGAATTCTTTGATGGTCATGAGAATATTAAAACAGTAGCCAAGTATAGTTCAAGCCTATATATAATTTTAGCTATTCAGGAAGCTGAGCCGGGAGAATTCCAGGTCTAAGCCCCGTCTGGGTTACAGTGTGAATTGAAGTCCAGCCCCCAAAACACAACATATAATCTAAAACTGAGCTGTTCTGGATGACTAGGCGACTATATAAACACACCAAAGTCACCGAACGGTATAATAGGTAGGGGTTGAGCATATTTCTGTGGCAGAGCGGTTTCTTTTCTTTTTTTTCCCAAACAATTTTTTTTTTTCCAAAACAGGGCTTTTCTGTAAGGCCCTGGCTGTCCTGGAACTCACTCTGTAGACCAGGCTGGCCTTGAACTGGCAGAGATCCATTTGCCTCTGTCTTCTGAGTGCTGGCATTAAAGGCGTGCACAACTGATACCTGGCTTCGGACCAATTGCTTAACATTCATAAAGCACGGGGTTTGATTACCAACACTGCAAAAAATAAAAATAAAATACATACAACATCCCTTAACACAAATACACATCTATAATCCCAGCTCTTGAAAGGCTAAGGCAAGAGGATCAAGAAGTCAGGGTCATTCTCTACTACAAAGTAAGTTCAAGGTTAGTCTAGGCTATGTGCGATCTTGTATCTAAATAAAAACAGGGAACATTGAGATAGCTCAGCCAATAAAGGTGCCTGTCACCAAGTCTAATGATATGAGTTTGATTCCTGAAACCCACATGGTAGAAGAGAACCGATTTCTGAAAGATGCCTTGTGATCTCCACGTGTGCATCATGACACATACACAATAATTATACATATGGAATTTTATTTTTTCGGTTCATTTATTTTATGTGTATGAGTGTTTCGCCTACATGCATATATGTATGCCTTGTATCTGAAGAGGCCAGAGGAGGATGTCAGATTCCCTGGAACTATAGTTAGAGATGATTGGGAGACACCATTTAGGTGTTGGGAACCAAATATGGGTCCTGAGAGAGCAGCAATTTCTCTTAACTGCTAAGCTATCTCTCCAGGCCCAATTAAATTTTTTCTTTCCATCTCTTTATCTGTATCTACCTATCCATCTATACCTCTGTCTATTTATCCATCCATCCACCTGCTACCCATGCATCTAACTAATGTGTATGTGTGTGTTGGATATATATATATATATATATATATATATATATATATATATTAGAGATACAGATGGTTGTGAGCAGCCGCAGCCTTGACGGGGCTGGGAATTTGGGTCCTCTGGAAGAGGAGCCAGTGCCCTTAACCATTAAGCTATCTTTAAAAAAAATATTATATATACAGCATTCTGCCTGCATGTGTACCTGCAGGCCAGAAGAGGGCACCAGATCTCATTACAGATGGTTGTGAGCCATCATGTGGTTGCTGGGAATTGAACTCAGGACCTCTGGAAGGACAGTCAGTGCTCTTAACCTCTGAGCCATCTCTCCAGCTCCCTTCTTTTTTTTTTTTAAAATATTTATTATATCATTAAGCTATCTTTATAGCCCCTGTCCTACATTTTTATCTTCCTTATTTTAACAATAACTAGGCCAGGCACAATGGTGCTCTTTTAATCTCAGCACTTTGAAGAAAGAGGCAGACAGATTTTCTCTGTGCGTTCAAGGCCAACCTTGTCTACAAATCCTGGTTAGCCAGGGCTACAAAGTGGGACCCTGTCTCAAAATAACAATAAAAACCAACACCTAATAAACAGAAAACATCCCTACAACTCCCAAACATTGGCACTTTGGCCTATGGCCTCTCCAGTCATGTGCATACACACATGTGTACCAAAGAAACTATGTTCTGTCTTGTCTGAGAACACAGTTCAGTAGGCGGAATGGTTGCTTGCCTAGCATGCCATGGGTTTGCTCTCCAGTGCTGTGTATAGTAGTGGCTACTTATAATCTCAGAACTCAGTACTCAAAGAGGCCATTACTGACTATATATTGTGTGAGGCCACCCTCTTCTAAATGAGACCTGTCTCAAAACAACAAAGAGTATTTCCCTCAGGTGTTTGCTTTAGTGCTCTAGAGAAGACATCCCTAACCTCAGGCAACTTCACGCCAATGGGGTGTTAGAATCCTCCAGTGTTCTTACACGTCGTCTCCTCCACCATTCTCATCTCTTTTTTCTCCCAATCCCCACCACTATCTTCTCCATTATCCATGCCATGAATCAAGTAGCGCTACGATGGTCAAAGATCATCTTTCCTTTAATCCCAGCACTCGTGAGGCAGAGGCAGGCGGATCTCTGTGAGTTCGAGGCCAGCCTGGTCTACAAGAGCTAGTTCCGGGACGGGCACCAAAGCTACGGAGAAACCCCGTCTTGAAAAACAAAAAGCAAAACAAAGCAAAAAAGTGCTCTGAATTTTTCACAGCAAGAAATTGGCAACTGACCAGTATTCAACTGCTGCTGCTACTATTTTTTTTTTTCCAGACAGGGTTTCTCTGCGTCGCTTTGTTGCCTGCCTTGGAACTAGCTCTTGTAACAAAGCTGGCCTCGAACTCACAGAGATCCACCTGCCTCTGCCTCCCGAGTGCTGGGATTAAAGGCGTGCACCACTGCCCCGCTGGGAGATGATTTCTCATTAAGAGACTCAGACCCATGAAACAGGCCAGGGCGAGGAGGGGAAACACGGCATGGTGATCCGGGGACCACTGGGCCTGATCACCATCCTCACGTCTCTAGCCTCGCTTTTTTCCTGTCAAGCTATACCCTTGGTAAGGGGACCCCACAAAGTGCTTCAGAGGAGTCCTAGAGGAAAACACACGAGTACTTGGGGGAAGTCCCCTACAGCAGGGCTTCCTAAGGCTAGGCCGCGCGAGCCCCGCCCCTTCCGCCGTGCGCCTGACGTCACACGGCATGGGCCGGGCGGGGTTTGGGCAACGAGGGCTTCGCGCGCTTCTCGCTCTACGTCACCGGTGCTTAGGCTCTGCGCTTTCAAAATGCAGCGGGAATTAGTGAGTTTCCCGCTGTCTCCCGCGGTGCGCGTGAAGCTGGTGGCTGCAGGGTTCCAGACTGCCGAGGACATCCTGGAGGTGAAGCCCTCTGAGCTCAGCAAAGGTAACGACTCCCGGCGGCCAGCTGATGCACCGCGGCCGCCTGGCGCCGCCTCCGTCTTCCTTCCGCCACCACCGTGTTGACGACGTAAAGCGACTCTTCGCTTGTGGTTGGAACTATGTGGAAAAACATTGACTGATTGCTTTCTGTGTCCGCGCCTCCTGGATGCTTTGAGGACTGCGTCACTTACGCTCAAGGGAAGTCTCTTGGACCAGAGTGTTTAATCTGTAGATGAAAAAACCAATTTTTATTATTTTTTTTTAAAAAAAAACAATTTTTCATCTAACTGAGTTGCGTAATAATGGCTCTAGAATTGGAAAACAGACAAGCCATGTAATTCTCACAGTTCCAAGATTCTGGGAGGGGGGAATGGAAATTGAATTCAAGAGTTGAAGGATTCAGTAGGAACGGAGAGGCTTCAGTGAGAAAGGAATAGGAGAAAGCCCTAGAAAGACGACGGACGCCCTTTATGATTCACGGAATACCCCAAACAGTTTTTTCAGAGCTCTTCAGATTACATTTAGTGTGTACATTAAGTGTGCATCCTTAATGTACACAAAAGTAAAGCTGGCGTCATCCACTGTGCCACCAATAGTGTGCCGAGCTCTTTGCTGTTCACTAAAGAGGACAGAATGTAATGTTTTGTTTTGTTTAAGTGTTTGGTAATGCTTTGCAATTAGCTTTGCAAATGCTAGTTAAACCCTCTACTTAAAATTAGAGCCACACCCCTAGTCTAATTTTTAAGTTTTAGTAGCAGTAATGTTGCTAACAGGACAGTAACTAAGAGGTGGAGCACTAACTAGCTGCTCGTGCCTAAGACCCTGGGCTTGATCAGCCATTAAATAAACCTTGAAGTTAATGTGCTAATTCATCACCGAGGTAGACTTTTGTTTGGTTGTTTTTGAGACAAGGCTTCTCTGTGTAGTCCTGGCTATCCTGGGACTTGCTAGTGCTGAGATTAGAGGTGTGAGCCACCACATTCAGCTCTGTGACTTTTAAATCTCTAATGTCAGTTCCCCCCCACCCCCCGATTTTTTTTTCAGAAGTTGGGATATCCAAAGAGGAAGCTTTAGAAACTCTACAGATTGTAAGAAGAGAATGTCTCGCAGATAAACCAAGATGTGCTGGTACTTCCGTGAGAGTCAAGAAGTGCACAGCCCTGGAACTTCTTGAACAGGAACACACCCAGGGCTTCATAATCACCTTCTGTTCAGCCCTAGATAACATTCTCGGGGGAGGAATACCCCTAACGAAAACGACAGAAGTTTGTGGTGTACCAGGTGTTGGGAAAACACAATTATGGTAAAATAAGAACGTTCTCTTCTTAAGTATGGACTTAGTGTTTTATGTAACTAATAGAGTATTGTGCTGTGAGTTTGTAGTCAGAATACCAAAAAGTGTGTGTTACTACTTCCTTCAACAAACCATCAGCTTACTGTTCATATTATCTCAGGTACCATCTTAGTGAAGGGATAGAGCAGCTTCGATGTCAGAAATGTTTCTTTTATAATGCAATATAATCACTACAGTAAGCAGATTCTCTCCTAATAGTTAGCTTCTGAGATATATTTGTCAGATGTTTTAAAGTTGATTTATATATGATAAAGAATCCTGAACCAGGCTTGGTAACATACTCCTATAATTTCATCACTCAGGATACTGAAGCAGGATTGCTATGAGTTGGAGGACAGTCTGAACTATATAACAATTGTTAGACCAGCCAGGGATATATAGTAAGACCTGGTGTCAACAACAACAAAAAAAAAAGTATGTTGAGCTGGAGAGATGGTTCAGTGGTTAAGAGCATTGACTGTTCTTCCAGAGGTCTTGAGTTCAATTCCCAGCAACCACATGGTGGCTCACAAACATGCAGACAGAATACTATATGTATAAAATCTTTTTTTTTTTTTGATTTGTTTTTCAAGACAGGGTTTATCTTTGTATCTGTGTAGCCTTGACTGTCCTGGACTAGGCTGGCCTCAAACTTACAGAGATCTGCCTGTCTCTGCCTCCCAAGTGCTAGAACTAAAGGCATACACCACCACCACCTGGCTCAAATAAATAAATCTTTAAAAAAAAGTATGTCTACTTGGGTGTAGTGACACAATCCTGTAAATATAGCAGTAAGGCTGGAGATTGAGATAGAAGGATTGAGAGTTGAAGGTTCAGCCTGGGCTACATTTCCAGAACCTAACTCAGAAAAAGGGAGAAAATATAAACCAATTCCTAGAAACCTAAAGACCACAAAGAGTTACTTAATGGTAATTTTGTGTAATATCTGCACTATAATCTAGGCATCTATGGATTCATAGGTATTTGGAGCTATGGAGAGTTAGCCATCTCTGTTGCCTTGGGGTATTACTTTTGTATTTAGAAAACTTGATGGTTTAGCTGATGATTAGACACAGTTTACAAAAGACATTTTGATAGTTATGATAATGATTTGGTCATTTCTTGACAGTATGCAATTGGCAGTGGATGTGCAGATTCCAGAATGTTTTGGAGGAGTGGCTGGTGAGGCAGTATTTATTGACACAGAGGGAAGTTTTATGGTTGATAGAGTGGCAACCCTTGCAACTGCCTGCATTCAACACCTTCGCCTTATAGCAGGAGCACACATGGACGAAGGTGAGTTAGCACAAAGTGCTCCTTCTGTAAGAGAAAGACAGTTTGTATTTGTGCCATTTCAGACTTCAGTAAGAGGTTGTCCCAAACTTGAAGCTTCTGCCTAGTTAACAGTACTCTCCCTGAAGCCTAGCTGTCTGTGATCATTCTGCCTCAGTCTCCAGAATGCTGGGATAGCAGACCTGTGTCGTACCCAACTTAGCAGCCATTGCTTTTTTAAATTTAATTAATTTTTTTAATGGTTTTTCAAGTCAGGGATTCTCTGTGTAACAGTCTTGGCTGTCCTGTAACTCACTTTATAGACCAGGTTGGCTTCAAACTCCCAGAGGTCTGCCTGCCAAACCTCCCAGGTGCTGGGATTAAAGGCACTCAGCACCACACCTAGCACAGCTCATGTCCTTCACCACTGAGTCACCTATCCAGCACAACAGACTTACTTTTAAAGTAATTGAGAAGGTAAGCACCTTGGCCAGTGCGATGGTTTAGCAGGTAAAGGTGCTTGTCACCAAGCTTGATAATGGAATTTGACCTCTAGAACTGCTATAACAGAAGAAGAGAACTGAAAATTGTCCCCTGAAATCCACAGATGCACTGTGGCGTTTGCATAAACAGGCACACACAGTTCATTACAAACAAAAACAGATTTTTTTTTTTGTTATATCTTTTCAGTAGAGATTCTGGAAAGGTAGACAAAATAATTCTGTCTAAAATGTCTAGTCGTGGCGCACGCCTTTAATCCCAGCACTCGGGAGGCAGAGGCAGGCGGATCTCTGTGAGTTTGAGACCAGCCTGGTCTACAAGAGCTAGTTCCAGGACAGGCTCCAAAACCACAGAGAAACCCTGTCTTGAAAAACCAAAAAAAAGTCTTACCCAATCTGTCCTTGGAAGTCCTGTATGGACAGAAGAGGTGCTGAGGCACTGGGATGTGAAGGCTTTAATGATTGGTGCATGAGAAAAATTAAAGGTTGTTTGTTTGTTTTGTTTTTTTACTAACTTAGTGTATATTGGAAGAGGCCAGAGTTTACTAACCTGAAGTCTAGTTCCCAGGATATCCTTGTACTGCTGTATGCCTGAGGATGATCTGGCACTGAGCCTCCTGCCTCCTTTTCCCACCTGCTGGGACTGCAGCTGTGAGCTGCTGGGTGCAGATAATTTTTCTGTGATGTTTTGTTTACTTTGGTTTGTTGTTTATTTTTGCAATGTTGGGGATCAAACCCAAGGCCTTGGAAATGTTAGTCAAGCACTCTATCACTTAACATCATTCCAGCCCGTTCTCTGTGAGTGAATCTCTGCACACACGCACTTGTGCATACACACGGGAGGGGTTGTTTTGTAATGTTATAGCATAAGTCGTTTTTTATTTGGCTTCTTGAGACAGGATCTTACTCTGTAACCCAAATTGGCCTGGAACTACGTAGGTTAGCTGGTCTGAAACTCCCAAGTTAAACAGTTTCTGACTTTTGTTGAGCTGGAGAGATGGCTCAGTCGTTAAAAGTACTACCTGCTCTTCCAGAGGTCCTGAGTTCATGTCCCAGCAACACATGGCAGCTCACAGCCAACTATAATGGGACGTGCCTTCTTTTGGTGTGCAGACATACATGTAGACAAAACACCATATATATAAATAAATAAATCTTTTAAAAAACATCTCATTTTACTTAGTGTGTATGCTCATGTGTGGAGATCAGAGAGAATTTGAGTTGTTCCTCCTACTGTGTGGATCCCAGAGATTGAACTCCGGTCATCTTGTCAGCCATCACAAACATCATAGGGACAGAAGAGAGTTCATTCATTAAAAGCTCCTGCTGCTCTTGCAGAGGATCTCGGTTTGGTTCCCAGCACCTCATGGAGGCACACAACTCTTCACAGCTCCAGTTCTGGCCTCAGTGGGCTCAAGGCACACACAAGGTGCACTTACATACAAGCAGAACACCTAATCATGTTAAAATTTTTTTAAAAAAATACATTTTAGAATGTGGTAATTAGTTTCTCATTTCAAAGCCAAACTCGCTTTATTTTCTTTTATGTGTTTGGGTGTTTTGCCTGAATGTATGAATGCACTGTATGTATACATTGCCTTTGGAGGCCAGAAGAGGGCATCAGATCTCCTCGGACTTGAATTACAGTCTGTTGTGAGCTGCCATGTAGGTTCTAGGACTCAAACCTGATTGCTCTGGAAGAACAGCCAGTATTCTTAACTACTGAGCCATCTTTCTAAGCACCCTACCCGCTTTTTTTAAAATTTATTTTTATTTTTTTAAACATGGCTGTCTCAGTACTTTCAGTGTAGACTAAGGTGGCCTTAAATTCTAAAGCATACTGACTTTTTAAAACCATACCAAACCATACTGATGTTTTAAAATCCAGTGTTAAGATTTCATAGTGTTACTACTCAAAGATCAGAGTGTTAAAGGGAAAATATACTCCATTGGGACATTTTTCTTTTAAAATCTTTTGGTTTTTGCTTTTGTTTTGTTTTGTTTTCAATACAGGGTTTCTCTGTGTAGCCCTGACTGTCCTGGAACTCAGTTTGTAAATCAGGCTGGCTTTGAACTCAGAGATCTGCTTACCTCTGCCCACCAAGTGCTAGAATTAAAGGTGTGAGCCACACCCCCTAGCCCCTGGATTTTCCTTTGAATTCTTAATTTGTATTCTTCAAAAACAAGAAAGAGAAACTTGAATCGTGATACTTCTGTTCAGTGGAAATCAATAGCTGGAGATAAACAGTAAGAATTTTGTTTATTTGTGAATAAATAATCCCTAGTATATTACACATACAATCAAAGACAATAAAGTAACTTTGGTTTTGAAATAAGAAACTAATTGTTGCATTTTAAAATGTATTTTTAAAAAAATATTTTAATGTGATTAGGTATTTTGTCTGCATGTCAGCACACCATGCCTGTACCTGATGTTCATGGAAACCAAAAAGTGACATCAGCTCTCTTGGAACTGGCGCTGTGGATGGTTAGAGTTAGGGTAAGCTGCTATGAGGGTGCTGGGAACCAAACCTGGGTCCTCTGCCAGAGCAGCAAGAACTCTTAAAGAAACAGTAGAGCCGGGCGGTGGTGGCGCACGCCTTTAATCCCAGCACTCTGGAGGCAGAGGCAGGCGGATCTCTGTGAGTTCGAGGCCAGCCGGTTTAGAAGAGCTAGTTCCAGGACAGGAACCAAAAAGCTGCCGAGAAACCCTGTCTCGAAAATCAAAAAAAAAAAAAAAAAGAAAGAAAAAAACAGTAGAAAACATTAAAAAACAATAAGATCAGCAGTCAACAAAGCACATTTTACGGCGATTCTGCAGTGGTTCTGTCATCTTTTAGATGTGATGTTGTTTTACAAGGGTACAAATAACGTATCTGTGATTGTCAGACATTTAGGAAAAGAAAAACTAAACTGTTTTCAGATTGCTTTGTTTGTTTCAGAACATCAGAAAGCCTTGGAGGATTTCACTCTTGAAAATATTCTTTCCCATATTTATTATTTCCGTTGTCATGATTACACTGAGCTGCTGGCACAAGCCTATCTCCTTCCAGATTTCCTTTCAGATCACTCAAAGGTATCGGTCATACTCCTGAAATAAAGTCTTTGGAAGTGTTGATAATTCAAAAATAAAGTGTAGCATAAACTTGATGTCCCTGCCCTGCAACTTACTTATTTTACTCTATTTTTTGCACATATATACTATATACATAGCAAAATATATATTCTTATGTATAGGTTATGGTTTTTTGGTCTTGTTTTTTTGTTTTTGGGTTTTTGAGACAAGGTTTCTCTGTGTAGCTTTGGAGCCTGTCCTTGAACTTGCTCTGCAGACCAGGCTGGCTTTGAACTCACAGAGATCGACCTATTCTGCCTCCCCAGTGCTGTGATTAAACGTGTGCTACCACCGCCTAGCTTACAGGTTTTATTTTGTTTTTTTTTTTTTAGACAGGGTTTTTCTGTGTAGCCTTGGCTGTCCTGGAACTCACATTGTAGACCAGTCTAGCCTTGAGATTTACCTGCTTCCACCTCTAGAGTGCTGAGATTAAAGGTGGGGGCCACACTGCTCAGCTGACTTTGAATTCTCAATCATTCTGTCTTCATTCAAGTGCCAGGATACAGGCTTTTGTTACCATATTCAGCCTGTTTCATTTTTATTATTATTATTTATTTAATTAATTTTTTTCTGAAACAAAGTTTCTTTGTGTAGCCCTGGCTGTCCTAGAACTTGTACTGTAGACCAGGCTAGCTTCAAACTCAGAGTTCCATCTGCCTCCGCCTTCTGAGTGCTATGATTAAAGGTGTGTGCCACCATGCCTGGCATTTGTTCTACTGTTTTTTTAATTTCAATTGGTTTACCTCTCCTTAGTCACTCTCTCTGTTTCTTTGTTTTTGTTAGGGCTCAAAGTTAAAGTCTGATCCGCGTGAGGCAAGTGTTCTACCACAGGTTCTCAGCTACTATTAGACTGTTTTGGTTACTATAGCTTTGTAGTACATTCTGAAATTAGGAAACAAGAATCCTCTTAACTTTGTTCTTTTAAAGATTTCTGTGGCTGTGTGGGGAGTCTTACAGTGAGTTTCAAGATTTCTGTGGCTGTGTGGGGTGTCTTACAGTGAGTTTGCTGTTGCTGTGACGACACACAGACATTTTGGTTGGAAAGGGTTAAGAGTCCATCATAGCAGGGAATCATAGCATCAGAGATGGCACAGCTGAGAGCTTACATATTTAACTGCAATCCAGAAGTAGAGAGAACACACTGGAAATGGTACATGGCTTTGAAACCTCAAAACTTGTCCCCAGTGATGTACTTCCTCTAGCAAGGCTATACTTCCTAAGCCTTACCAAAAAGCGCTACCAACTGGGAACCAAGTATTCAGATACTAGACTCTCGGGGATATTCATTCAAACCACCACACCATATGATTTTTTGGTTAATTTTTTATTAATGTATATATGGGCATTTTGCTTGCATTTATGTCTGTGTACCATGTATGTGCAATGTCCACACAGGCCTGAAACAGAGCACTGGTTTCCTGGGACTGGAGTTAAAGAAGATTGTGAATTGCCATGTGGGTGCTATGAATTGAACTTGGGTCCTCTGGAAGAGCAGCCAGTGCTCTTAACTGCTGAGCCATCTCCAGCAACAGAAATGAAGCTCGAACCTTGCATGTGCATGCAATGCTAGTATTCAGGTGATGATTCATGTAGAATCATTGGGTGATACTTTGCAGAAGAAAGAAAGCCTTTGAGGGCCGGAGAGATGGTTAAGAACACTGACTGCTCTTCAGAGTTGGAATGCCAACACCCACATAGTGGCTCACAACCATCTGTAAATTTGGTTCTAAGGGATCCCTTGCCCTCTGCTGGCCTTCACAGGTACTAGGCACAAACATGGTGCACAGGCATACATGGAGGCAAAACTAATACACATAGAATTATAAAATGAATTTTAAGAGGAAACCTTTGAAGAATTAGAAATAAAACCCTAGGATGAGGTATATAGCTCAGTAGTAGAGTGCTTACCATCTGTGGGCCATAGGTTTAATTCCTAGCATTATAAAAGAAAACTCTTTATTTTTATTTAATTTGAGTTAGAGTCTCACTGTATAGCCCAGCCTGGCCTGAAACTCACGATCCTCCTTCCTTCACCTTCTGCATGCTGAAATTATAGATATATACCACCATGCCTTTATTTTTAATTGTGCAAGGGACTGGAGGCCAGAGGAGAGCATTGGATCCCCTAGACAGATACCTGGAGTTATAGGAAGTTGTGAACTGCCTGACATGGGTACTAGGAACTGAACTTGCATCTTTTTTTTTTTTTTTCAGTTTTTCGAGACAGGGTTTCTCTGGTTTTGGAGCCTGTCCTGGAACTATCTCTTGTAGACCAGGCTGGTCTTGAACTCACAGAGATCTGCCTGCCTCTGCCTCCCGAGTGCTGGGATTAAAGGCGTGCGCCACCACCGCCCGGCTTGCATCTTCTTTAAGAGCAATGTACACTCAATTGCTGAGCCATCTCTCCAACTGCATCAAAAATGTTCAGCTAGCAAGCTAGATGGCTTTCTTTTTTTTTTTTTTTTCGTTTTTGATGGGGAGTTGTTTTTTCCTCAAACAAGCTTTCTCTAACAGTCCTGGCTGACCCGGATCTTGCTTTGTAGACTAGGTTGGCCTCAAAAAGAGATCTACCTGTCTTTGATTCTTGAATGCTGGGATTAAAGGCCTGTGCCACCCGACCCGACCTGATTTCTTTTTTAAGGTTCATTTTTGTAATGGGATATGTTCATTGTAATTGTAACTCCAAAACCAATTTCATTCTCCTGTGTTTAGGTGCAGTTAGTGATAATCGATGGCATTGCTTTTCCTTTCCGTCATGACTTTGATGATCTGTCCCTTCGTACGTGGTTACTGAATGGCCTAGCCCAACAAATGATCAGCCTCGCAAACAATCACAGATTAGCTGTAAGTATTATTAGAAGAATTTTATAGCTAAGACTGTATGAAATATTAATGTCTGGCTGGGCAGTGGTGGTGATGCACACCTTTAATCCCAATACTCGGGAGGCAGAGACAGGTGGGTCCCTGAGTTCGAGGTTAACCTGGTCTACAGAGTGAGTTCCAGGACAGCCAAGGCTGCACAGAGAAACCCTGTCTTGAAAAACAAAACAAAACAAAAAAATTGATGTTTAAATTTACTCATATTTTGCATGAGTAGATTAGACCCAGAGCCTCATGCACGGTAGGCAAATATATGTGAACTAAAGAGTGCAGGGTTACCTGTTTGCCATTAATTTTCACTCTGCAAACACATCTTCCCATTGACAAAAATAAAAATGCTGAGTTACCCTGGTTTTTTTTAACCTTTTTTTTTTTTGGTTTTTCGAGACAGGGTTTCTCTGTAGCTTTGGAGCCTGTCCTGGAACTCCCTTTGTAGACCAGGCTGGCCTTGAACTCACAGGGATCCACCTGCCTCTGCCTCAGGAGTGCTGGGATTAAAGGTGTTTACCACTGCCCGGCTTTTTTTTTTTTTTTTAACCTTTTAAGGGAAATTGTTAACACATACCTGTGATACACCAAATGTAAATAAAAAACTTCCTCTGTAAAATTTAAACCATACATTTTTTTCTTTGTGTTTCCAAATCTTAATCTTTTTAAAAAAAATATTTTGGATTTATTATATATACAGTGTTATACCTGCAGGCCAGAAGAGGGCACCAGATCTCATTACAGATGATTGTGAGCCACCAGGTGTTTTCTGGGAATTGAACTCAGGACCTCTGGAAGAGCAGTCAGTGCTCTTAACCTCTGAACCATCTCCAGCCCCTCTGTTTTTGTTTTTGTTTTTTTTGTTTTGTTTTAAATGTTTTTTGAGATAGGATAGCTTTGAAGCCTGTCCTGGAACTCACTCTGTAAACCAGACTGGCCTCAGACTTACAGACATCCGCTTACCTCTGTCTCCCAGTGCTAGGATTAAAGCCAGTTCTCTCCACTATGTTTTCCCAGAGATCAAACCTAAGTTGTCAGACTGCATGGAAAGTGCCTTTACCCACTGAGTACCACTTTACCATCTTACCATATCTTGCCATATCCTTTTTGCTAAAGCATAGTGCCCTTTCTTACTGCTAATTGTAATTTAGCATCCTTAGTGCTGGTATCCTGAAGATCCCCCAGTAGAGGGCACTCAAGACAAATAGGCTGCAGAGTGTTACAGTTTCCTAGGTTTTGGTGGGTTTTTCTTGTTCTGTTATTTTGCTGCTGCTGGTGCTGCTCCTCTAGCCCAAGACTTCAGACATACTACACAAACACTCTGCCATTGAAGTATGTCCCCTGCCCGATTTTAATTTAGCCCTTTCTCTTTTATGTATATAAGTTTTGGTTTGTGTGTACACATGGAGGCCCATGTACAGTGTGCATTTGCCTGTGGAGCCCAGAGGTCAGCACTATAATTCTTCTCAGTCGCTGTCTGCCTTAGTTAGGTTTTTTTGTGTTTGTCTGGTTTTGGTTTGTTTGTTTTTTGAGTCAGGGATTTTCTATTGTAACCCTGGCTGTCCTAGAACTCTCTCTGTAGACCAGGCTGTCTTTGAACTCAGATCCACCTGCCTCTGCTTCCCAAGCACTGGGATTAAAAGTATTCACCACCACTGCCTGGTGTTTTTTCTTTTAAGTCTTTTGTATGTGCATGGGTGCTGTACCTGCATGTATGTCTGTGTACCGTGTCAGTGCTGTGTGCAAGGAGGCCAGAAGAGGGCATTGGAACTACCAATACTGGGATTAAAGATGGTGGATAGTGGCTTGGGTTTTTGTTTTTTCAGGGCTCTGAAATTCAGGACTTTGAATTCACTATACATCTAAGGATGACACTAAATTCTTACCCTTTTTAAATTTTTTTGGAGACAAGGTCTTACTATGTAGCTCTGTCTGTTCGGAAACTCGTGTCCCCAGGCTGATATCAAACAGATCTTTTTGCTCCTGCCTCTACCTCTAAAGTGCTGGGATTAAATGAATGTACCGCTATGCCTTGCTGTCTTACCTTTATATTGCTGTGACAGAAGTACCATGACTAAGGCAAATTTGGAATACTTTATGTATTTTTGTTTTTATATCCCTACCAAAGTTTCCCCTTCCTCCTCTCCTCCAGTACCTCCCTGACCAAGGCAGTTTATAAAAATGTATAAGATATGCCAGGTGGTGGTGGCTCACGACTTTAATCCCGGCATTTGGGAGGCAGAGGCAGGCAGATCTCTGTGAGTCTGTGGCCAGCCTGGTCTACAGAGCAAGTTCCAGGACAGGCACCAAAACTACAGCGAAACCCAATCTTGGAAAAACCAAAAAGAAAAAAAGCATTTAAAGGTATGGCATTATGGCTTGCTTCTCCTTAAGTGCTAGGACCAAAGGAATGTACCATCCATATTTGGCTAAAATTTTGATGTTATTTTTTGAGATAGGTCTATCTATCCCTGGTTGCCCTTGAACTCTCTATATAGACCAGGCTGGCCTCAAACTCATAGAGATATATGCCTGCCTCTGTCCCCAAGTGCTGGGACTAAAGGCATATGCCACTAGGCCCCAAGATTTGAATTTTAAAAAGTGTAGGTACTGGAGAGATGGCTCAGTGAATAAAGTATTTGCTTTGGTAGCGTGAAGACCTGAGTTCAATACCCCAGCACCCACATAAAAGCCGAACATGGCACTACACTCCTGTAATCCCAGGATTGTGAAGGTGAGGGCACAGAAAGGATTTCCACAGGGGATTCTTTGGTTTTGCCAGCCAGCCAGCCAAACTCAAAGAAGAATCCTAGATTCAATGAGAAACCCTGTCTTAAAAAAAAAAAAAAAAAGGCCTGGAGTTGCCTTTAATATCAGCACCTGAGAGTCGGGCTGGTGAATCTCTTGAGTTCGAGGCCAGCCTGGTGGTCTACAGAGTGAGTTCCAGGACAGCTAGTTAAAAAGAAAAACCCTGTCTTAAAAAATGAAAAATAAATAAAAGAATAAGAATTCTTTGTTCCTTCAGATTTTTCTTATCATGTTTTCTGATAACACATGCTTGCAGGTAAGTACAGAAAATTTTTATTTTTAAAATTTCAAACAAATGAGCAAATCTCCATCTCTTCGCCTTTATTTAGAAAAAAAAATGTATTTTAAAGAGCTTTATTTAGTTTGTGTGTATGAGTGTTTTGCCTGCATGTATGTCTGTGTACCACATGTGTGCCTGGTGCCAGAGGAGGCCATAAGAGGGTTTCAGGTTTCTGGATTTGAAGTTATAAATCACTTCTCAACTTGTGGGTCATAACCCCCTCAAGACCATCAAAAACACAGATATTTACATTATGATTCATAACAGTAGCAAAATTATAGGCCTGAAATAGCAATGAAGCTGGGCAGTGGTGGCGCACACCTTTAATCCCAGCATTTGGGAGGCAGAGGCAGGCAGATCTCAGTGAGTTTGAGGCCAGCCTGGTCTACAGAGTGAGTTATACAGAGGACTGTAACACAGAGAAATCCTGTCTGGGGGTGAAAAATAAAGAAAGAAATAGCAACAAAAATAGTTTTATGGTTGGGGGGGGGGTCACCACAACATGAGAACTGTATTAAAGGGTCAAAGCACTAGGAATGTTGAGAACCACTGTTAAAAATTGTGAGCCACCATGTGAGTTCTGGAAATTGAATCTGGGTCCTGAATTTGAGTCATCTCTTTAGCCTCTAATATATTTTCTTTAACTTGTTATATTCAGAATATTATCTCATAGGACTGTTTACGTACTTTTTGTTTGTTTTTCGAGACAGGGTTTCTCTATGTAGCCCTGGCTGCCCTGGAACTAGCTGTGTAGACCAGGCTGGCCACAAACTCATAGAGATCCACCTGCCTCTGTCTCCCAAATGCTGGGACTAAAGGCATGCACCACCATTGTCCTAACTTTCTTATGTTTTGCTCTTATAGGTTATTTTAACAAATCAGATAACAACAAAGATTGATAAAAGTCAAGCATTACTTGTTCCTACATTAGGTGGGTAAATGAATTAGATAAAACATTTTCATTTTAATATTTTCCTACCTTGTCATTTGAATACTATAAGCTTTGAAAGCAGAGACTGCTAATCCACTGACTCATCTGCTCACTAAGTGCAGTGTCCTGAGATACCGACTAATCCTTTCATAATTTAACACATTTATTGAGTATCTGCTTTCTGGCAGCTGTGTTAGAAACCTGAGAAATAAATATTCAAAATAGGATTCTAGACATTAAAACCTCAGTCTTGCTGGGCAGTGGTAGCACACACCTTTAATTCCAGCACTCAGGAGGCAGAGGCAGACAGATCTCTGAGTTTGAGGCCAGCCTGGTCTGCAGAGTTCCAGGACAGCCAGGGCTACATAGAGAAATCCTGTCTCAAAAAACAAGCAAACAAACCCCTCAGTCTTAGGAGCTAGAGAGGTGGCTTAGCCATTAAGAGCACTGACTGCTTAAAATAAAAAAAGAAATTTAAAAAAACCTAAGCCCGCGGTCTTAGGCAGGAAAGGAGGAGGAAAGGGGTCTATTTAAATAAAAATCACACCAGTGCAAACAGGTATGACTATATTTCTTTTTTTTCTAAGATTTATTTATTATGTATACAGTGTTCTCCAAAAGAGGGCACCAGATCTCGTTATAGGTGGTTGTGAGACACCATGTGGTTGCTGGGAGTTGAACTCAGGACCTCTGGAAGCACAGTCTGTGCTCTTAACTACTGAGCCATTTCTCCAGTCCATGACTATATTTCTATTTTTTTTTTTATTTTCTTTGATTTTTCGAGACAGGGTTTCTCTGTGGCTTTGGAGCCTGTCCTGGAACTAGCTCTGTAGACCAGGCTGATCTCGAACTCACAGAGATCCGCCTGCCTCTGCCTCCCGAGTGCTGGGATTAAAGGCGTGCGCCACTACCGCCCAGCATGACTATATTTCTAATGTGATTTTATTAGAACACAATGTTTCAAGATCTATCTTGAAGTATTATTGAAACCCAATAATACTCTGTGTGCCAAACATGGTGATACAGAACTGTAGTCCCAGCTCTTCATGAGGCTGAAGTAGGAGGAACTTTAGCCCAGAAATCCAGGGAAAGCCTGGACTGCATAATGAAACCTCCTTGGTGACTTGTCTTTAATCCCAGCACTCCAGAGGCAGCAGCAGACTGGGTTCTCTAAATTCAAGGCCATCCTGGTCTAACTATCAAATTCCAGGTCGATCAGAACCATAATGAGACCCTGTTACTGGGTGTCAAAAATACATAGTAGGCCTTATAGAATGGAAGGTGGATAATATACTGAAACTATAATCTTTTCATGGAGCAAATAGAGGACAATGATTTGCATTGCTCTCCTGGAGAAGTAAAACTCTATCACTCTTAGGATCTTATCTTCCTCATGTGCCACAGGTTTTGAAACCAAGAACATTCTTTGGTTTGCTTTGTTTATACTTTGTTTTTTCAGAGAGGGTTTCTCTGTGTAGCCCTGTGTGTTCTGAAACTCACTCTTTAAACCAGGCTGGCCTCAAACCCAGAGATTCCCCTGCCTCTGCCTCCTAAGTGTTAGGATTAAAGGTATACACCACCTCTGCCTGGTCAAAACCAAGAATATTATTTTTTTAACTAAATACTTTATTATTTTATATTTCTTTTCTTTTTTTAGTTTCTCAAGACAGGGTTTTTCTGTGTAACTGCTCTGGCTTTCCTGGAACTCGCTCTGTAGACCTTGAACTCAAAAAGATCCACCTGCCTCTTGGGAGCTGCAATTAAAGGCATCCACTACCCCACCTGGTCCAAGAATTTTATTTTATTTAATTAATTAGTTAATTAATTTATTTAATTTTCGAGACAGGGTTTCTCTGTAGTTTTTGGTGCCTGTCCTGGAACTAGCTCTTGTAGACCAGGCTGGCCTTGAACTCACAGAAATCCACCTCCCTCTGCTTCCCAAGTGCTGGGATTAAAGGCGTGCGCCACCACCGCCCGGCTCAAGAATATTTTTATTCTAAATTTGGTAATCTAAGATTGTATTTGGCCAGAGACCTTCTAAGCAACTTGAAAATTCTAAAGGTATTATATAGTTAATTCTTTTTTTTTTTTTTTTTTAGGGGACAGCTGGGGGCACGCTGCTACGATAAGGCTTATTTTTCATTGGGAACAAACGCAAAGGTCAGTATAGAAATAAGTTCATAATTCAGAATATTAGTCTAATTACACTGAGTACTTAATGGTTCTTAGCATTAGTCCTCAGCTTGAGATTTGCAGTGACCCATAAACCACTGCTTTTGTTGCCTTGTTTGACATCAGTTATAGAAAACAGAAACACACTGTTAGTACTGCACATTCAGCTACATAGGGAATTCTTTGTGTATTTAAATGATGGGGTGAATGCACCTGGAACATGTAGGTGGCTAAGGAATTGCTGCCTTCTGATACTCTTTGAAATCCCTTATTAACTATGAAGAAGGAGGTGGTACTTTGCGTTCCCAGAAAGGATTGAAGAATAAAATCAGGACAAAATGAAAACTTTTGAGGTTAGCGTTAGGACTAATACATGTGGAAAATAGGATGGTGTTTCTTAGTTGCTTAATATAGTTCTTGCATGAAATTGTGTCTGCCATTTTTTCCCCCTTTATTACCCATGTATTTACCTGCCTTTCACAAGTATTATTCTTTAAAATAAAATCATGGCAGCATGGAGCCTTTGTGTTTGTTTCTAAAGCTGCTGCGCAAGAGAATGGACCTGCTTTCCTTTTCTTTAAAGTAGGCCATTGAAAGCTATGAAGTCTTTTATTCTGAACTTCAAAAAAATAACAGATTTATGCCAGCCTTTCTGCTTTGTGATTAATTGGCATAACCTAGAGAACTTGGTGTGGAAGTGCTCTAATAAAGAAGGAAACTGAGGCAGTATGTAGGGCAGCATTGAGCTTAGCGATACTATATTTTTATTTTATTCCTAGAAAGCTGCATTACATACCTTCTAATTCTCTTTCAAATTCATATTGTGGTTAGGTATGTTGGCACATACCAGCACTCGGGACTGAGGAGAACAGTCTGAGTTCGAGGCTAACATGGCCTGTGTAGTTCCAGGTCAGCCTAGGACTGCAAGAGTCCTTAAAAAAGAATAGAAAAAGCCTTATCATAAAACTCTGTTTCATGAACAAAATTTTTTGGAGGGTGGAGAGGATATATATATTTATCTGTCAATGGAGTCCTGGCTGTCACGGAGTTCGCTGTATAGCCCAGGCTGGCCTTGAACTCAGAGATCTGCCTGCTTCTGCCTTCTGAGTGCTGACATTAAAGGGGTGCACCACCACTCCCAGCTTTATTTAATTTTTAAAAAGGGATTTATTTATTAGCCGGGCGGTGGTGGCGCACGCCTTTAATCCCAGCACTCGGGAGGCAGAGGCAGGCGGATCTCTGTGAGTTCGAGACCAGCCTGGTCTACAAGAGCTAGTTCCAGGACAGGCGCCAAAACCACAGAGAAACCCTGTCTCAAAAAAAAACAAAACAAAACAAATAAAAAGGGATTTATTTGATGTGAGTAGTCTTCCTGCCGATTTTTGCATGTCCGGTGCCCACAGAGGTCAGAAGAGGGCACTGGATCCCCTGGAACTGGAATTAGAAATGGTTGTGAGCTGCCCTGTGGGTACTGGGAACTGAACCTGAGTTCTCTGCAGGAGCAGCGAGTGCTCTGCACTCCGCAGCCACCTCCCCAGCCCTTACTGTGGCTGTAAGGAAAGGAAGGCACGGACTTTGTGCAGTAGCCTCTGGAGATAGAGACTGCGTGAGTCAGTTGGAAAAGACTGCACCAGTGCAGCCACTAAAACCTAACTTGGTCAGCATGAATTCTTTCCCTTTGTCCTGTAAGAACTTTTCAAGAAGATAATTATAATATTGCATGCAATTCTTTTATTCCCTAGTAGAAGTGCTTTTCCTCTGAATTGTTGATTTCAAGTCTGTAGATATGACAATCAGATTATGATAATCAGAATTCAGTCGCTAAAGAATCAAGATATTTTTGTTTATTGTTTGAAACTAAATTGTCTTTAAGTTTTGTGAAATATTTGCTTCTAGGGGAATATGGTGGTTTTGTTTGGTTTGGGTTTTGGGTACTAGAAATTGAACGAGGACTTTTGAGCATGCTCAATATAAGCTCTCCTACTATAGATGAGCTATGGGCCCATCCGTAAGATTGCGTGAAGTCTTATATGCTTTTTATTTGTTGTTTGTTTTTGAGATAGACTCTCAAGTAGCCCAGGCTGGCCTGTAACTTACTAGATAGCATAGAATGGCCTTAATTCTTGAAACTTTTGCTTAGTTTCCAGAAAAGTACCCCGCTGATATTAGGGAATTAGGGCCTGGGAAATGCTAAGCAAACACTCTGCCATCAAGTTGTATACTCTCATGTTTTTTAGAAATTTATTTTAAAAATATGAAAATAATTTATAAACTGATAATAAAAATGAACACTTTAAATATGAACAGAAAAACCTAAAACCTTGAATAATATTTATAATATGAATTGAGCTTAGATATTATCTCATGGACTAGTAACATCTGATTTTATATTTTGCTTTTTGTGTTTTTTTTAACATAGGCTCTTTTTAAAGAAGGATTTTGTTTGTTTTAAGACACAGACTGGCCTTGAACTTGTGGGCTCAAAAAAATCCTACTTCTGCCTACTTGAAACTAAAGGCATCCGCATGGTAACCTGTGAGGGAAGGTTTTCTGTTTCTTAATATTTCTCTACAATTATGTTCTTGAGAACACTTGATAAGATTCTGCACATTTAAATTATGAAATCAGCTATGCAACCTAATTATTAAAGTAATGTTTATATGTATTTTTTTCTTCAAACAGATTTGCAACATTGTACAAGTCGCCAAGCCAGAAGGAGTCCACAATACCATTTCAGATCACAGTTAGTATTATTTAATCAGAGTGGGGTTTTGGTGTTGGTGGGCAGTAAATATCTGAAGGGGTCATGTACAAATGGTTTCTGTTAATCTTATAAGCAGCAAGCATGTTTGAAGACAGTTTTGGTGGGAGAACATCACCAAAACAGTACTAACAGAATACTGTAGTTACAGTTGGGCGGTGGTGGCGCACGCCTTTAATCCCAGCACTTGGGAGGCAGAGGCAGGCAGATCTCTGTGAGTTCCAGGACAGCTAGGGCTACACAGAGAAATCCTGTCTCAAAAAAACCAAAAAAAAAAAAAAAGCCAGAAAAGAAAAAGAAAAAAAATTATCTTTGAAAACAGAGGAAATATTTATGTTTCATGGCATCTGTAAAATCTCCTACAGACTTTTATGTTAAAAGTTTTCAGAAAGGAAAAGGTACAGCTGGACATGATGGCCTACACTTAGGAGATTGAGGTAGACGGGGATCAGTAGTTCAAGAGCAGCCTAAAAAGTATGTGGTCCTGTTTCAGAAATATCAGCAACAAGAAAGGATAATGCTGGTGTTAGTATTTGGTCTGTAGTACCTGTCAAACTTATGTCACTCTCCTGAACACTTACATCACTAGACACCAGGCCCAAGTCACCCTCAAACTCACTACAAAGCTAATCATGACCTTTGAGCTTCATTATTCAATATATTTTTAAAATTTTTTTTAATATTTATTTATTTATTATGTATACAATATTCTGTCTGTGTGTATGTCTGCAGGCCAGAAGAGGGCACCAGACCTCATTACAGATGGTTGTGAGCCACCATGTGGTTGCCGGGAATTGAACTCAGGACCTTTGGAAGAGCAGGCAATGCTCTTAACCACTGAGCCATCTCTCCAGCCCCCTATTTTTAAAATTTATATATCATTTGTATACCATTTGTGTGCTTGGTGTCCAAGGAGGGTGAGCCTCCACCTGGGTCTTTCTCAAGAACAAGTGCCCTTAACTACTGAGCCAATTCTCTCCAACCCTTGCTTTTTTTTTGAGACAGGGTCTCTCTACATAGCCTTCGCTGTCCTAGAACTTATTCTATAGACCAGGCTGGCCTCACACTCAGAAATTTGCCTACCTCTGCCTCCCGAGTGCTAGAATTAAAGGTGTGAGCCACCACACTAAGCAGCCATCTTGTAAGGATAGAGAGAACAATGGAAAGCAGTTCTGAAAATGAATTCTTCACTTAGTGTTTACACTGCCCTTACTATCCCCAACCTGCCGTTGTTTTGTCTTTTTGAGAAGAGGTCTTGTTATATATATAGTCCAGGCTGACTTTGAACTTTTGATCCTCCTGCCTCAGCTGCCTGAGGGCTTACTATTACAGATGCATACCACATGCCAGACAGAATATTTTATTGTGAAGATGATTTGTAAAGCAGATAAATAGCAGATCAGACTACTTTCCACTTCTCTCGGCAGGTACCATAAAGCTTACTAGGATTCTTTTTAGAGAACTTTTGTTGTTAACTTGGGCAAAAGGGTGTTGGGTCTCATCACTGAACTATTGGAGTCTTAGAGAACATCCTTATTCAGTGTTATTTAAAAACTATTTGGAAAATTAATTTTTACTTTAAATGTTCATTAAGTGTGTTCGTGTATTCTTCATCTTGCAGCCTCAGGGATTTCGAGATGCTGCCATCACTGCTCCTTCGTCACAGGCAGGAGCGTCTTTGAATTTCCGGAAACGGTCACGAGAACAAGAGGTAGAGTGCTGACCCAAAACTAATCTCAGTATACAGTTAGACTCGCCATGTGATATTCATTGTAGTACATAGAAGTTTTTGATAGTCTTTAAATATAAGCACATATTCTTTAAAATATAGACACATTCACTCATGCCATGAGTGAATCAGAATTATTTGATATGAATGGGAAATAGTTACAGACTCTTCTGGGAAAAAAAAATTTTTTTCTGTATGCATATGCCATGGTGACTTGTAGTAAGAGGACAACTTGGGGAGTCAATTTTCTACTTCCACTTTCTTTTTTAATTTATTTTTATTTGTATGGGTGTTTCCTGTGTGTGTGTGTGTTCATGTGTGTTCGTTCACTATGTGTGTGCTGGTGCCTACAAAAGCCAGAGTAGGTTGGTGGATCCCCTGGAATTGAAGTTAAATGATACTGAGTCACCATGAAGGTGCTGGGAACCAGACCCCAGCCTTCTGCAAGAGCCAAAAATGTTCCCTAATGCTGAGCGGTGGTGGTGCACGCCTTTAATCCCAGCACTTGGGAGGCAGAGGCCGGTGGATCTCTGCGTGTGAGGCCAACCTGGGCTACAGAGTGAATTCCAGGACAGCCAGGGTTATATAAAGAAACCCTGCCACTGAGGGAGAATCCAGTCTTTTTTTCTCTACTTACTGTCTCCAGTTGGTTTGGACAAACAAGTCTACCTGGCAGATGGTGGTTGCATTTGGATTTCATCTTAGAGTTAGAGTGTATGATAAATTAAAAAGATACAGATTTTCTTTTATTTCATGTCATCAATATGATTACCCTTTCTGGTAATTGATGTACATACATGAATATTGATAGTATGACTTCATCTATCAAAATAAAAAGTTAAAATATAAAGTAGCCATCAAAGATTAATGTGGCTAAAAGTTTGCTTCCAGGGAGGTATTATTGGAAGGTAGTAGAAACTAAGAAGTAGGGCCTTATGGGAAATCTTTAGATCATTTTGAGGATGTACTTCAGAGAGGATTGTGGGACTCCAGGTCTGTTTTTTCTCTTGCTTCCTGGTCTTGAGGTGAACAGTTTGGTCTTATCATGTGTACATCAGCTATTGCCATCTGGTAAACCAACCAGAGACCTGGAAGCACTGAGTTTGTCTGATCATGGGCTATAACCTCTAAAACTGAGCCAAAATAAACCTTTTATGTCAGCTATTATAGTGATGAAAAGCTAACACAAATAGATTTGTATGCACACAAATATTTTCAAGATTTATGAGTGTTTTGCCTGCTTGTGTGTCTGTGTACCATGTCTGTAAAGCACAGGAGAGAATATTGGATCCCCAGGAATTCTTACAGGCAGTTCTGAAATACCATGGAGGTGCTGGAAACTGAATTTAAGTCTTCTGTAAGAGCAGCAGTGCTCTTAACTGCTGAAACATCTTTCCAGTACCTCAGTGTGACTTTTTTTAAAAATTGGTATAATAATGGGTTTCATGACGACTTTTGTGTGCTTTTTGATTTTTGAGACAGGGTTTCTCTGTAACAACAGCTCTGGCTATCCTGGAACTCTCTTTTGTAGACTATGTTGGCCTTGAATTCACAGAGATCCACCTGCTTCTGCCTCCCAAGTGCTGGAATTAAAGGCATGCACCACCACCTTTCATGAAGACATTATAGGTATATCATGTACTCACTTCCAGTGTTTTAATGTCATTTCCTTGTTTTATCATGTTGTGGACACAGCTCATACAACATAAGCTGATAATATAGTTTACTTTAAAAACTCATTTTGGAACAGGGTGGTGGTGGCAAATGCCTTTAATACCAACATTTAGGAAGCAGAGGCAGGTGGATCTCAGTGACTTCGAGGTCAGCCTGGTCTACAAAGTGAGTTTCAGGACAGCCAGGACTGGACTGTTCAGAGAAGCCCTGTCTCATAAAAACAAAACAAAACAAAAAAAATATTTTGGGAAGAATAAATACTAGAAATTTATATTATCTATTGCTGTACTTGGAAAATCAGTTTGATACCAAATAAGTTTAGGTGTTTATTATGTTAAAATATAAAGTTAAAAGCTCACATAACCTGATTCAACACCTGGTTTTGTTTATTTTTAGGATACAGGCTTAACATTTTAAATATAGTTATTACATATCTACATTGTTAGAGAAAAACTTAGAGATCATTTCATCATGGGCTGGGGAGATACTTCATTCAATAAAATGCTTGCCATGCCGGCATGAAGATAAGAGTTTTATCCTTGGAACCCACATGAAATAAACCTGAGACAGGCAGATCACTGGATCTCACGAGGCAGCCAGGACAGCTGGACCTGGGCTTCAAGCTAGTGAGGCTGTCTTAAAAGACTAGGGTGTACAGCTGGGGAATGACACTCTGAGGTGTGATCAGGCCTCTACATACACACACACACACACACACCATTCTACCAGTGTCTTTCCTGTGTGATGCATGTGTGCACGTTTGTGTATGTGGGTGAATGTGGTTGTATGTGATCCACAGTTGTCATGGGGTGTTCAGAGGACAAGCTCGTTGTTGGTCTTTGCTTTCTACTGTGTTTGAGACAGCATCTCATTGCACTGGTCTGCAAGCTCCCAGGGATTCTCCTGTCTCTGCCTCCAGATATGCCACAGGAGGGCCAGGATTACAGGGGCATGCTCTTAACTGCTGAGCCATCTTTCAGCCCCACTGTGTTTTATTTTTGTCAATAATGTTCTTAATCAAGTTTCTGTGGTTGGTGGTAAAGTTACAGTATAATCTGATAGGATGATCCTAGAACTAAAGTTAGACCCACATTCTCACTCTGCCTGAGACTTCCAGAAGCCATGCCAATTTGGGCGTCTTTATTTTTCATACTTATTTTTACTGCCTTATTTATAAAAAAGATTGTTTATAAATGATTGTTTGATTTTTCTGGCTTCTGTTTTTATAGAGGCATTATGAGGCAGACAGTCACTGGAAATAATCAACACTGAAAATATTGGAAACAAGGACATTTACTTTCAAGATCACAGAAGTGTGGTTGCTGCATCCCTGTAATCCCAGCACTCGGAAGCTAAGGCATGAGGATTGCTGTTAGTTCCAGCCTAGCCTGAGCTGCACAACAAGACCCTGTGTCTAAAAATAAATAAAACATCATAAAAACCAATAATATTCACATTACTCTTATAATACGTTGAATTTCAGTTTTGAGACAAAGCTGAATTGTTTTATTGCTTTAGAAAACATACTGAGTTACAGGAGAGAAGCTGACTGTTCATAATATGTATTTTTAGTTAACATCAGTGCCTAAATTTACTGTTACTGTTAAAATTTACAGAACATTTTGCTCCCTTAGAATCGATTTTGGCATAAAAAGATGTTGACAAGATTTCATGTATTTTTGACCACAGTTTATTTCTTTGCTTGTTTTCAGTCCCAGTTCACCTTTGACACAGGCTTCTTAGTATTTCAGGTGTCCATTTGACTTCCATTCTATGTAGTGAGATGGAAAGTGAGTTTTTAAGCATTCTATTACTTTATGATTTTTATGTGTAACTTAAGAAAATATAAAAATTATTCTCATTCAGAAGAATGGAGGGAGAACTCAAGGTTATATCCTACCTACTTTCAAAAATAAGAAATTGCAAGAAAAAGGTCAAAAACCAAGCAGTTATGTAAAGAGAAGTTATGACAAAAGCCATATAAATTGAGGCTCAAAAAGAAAAGTATAATGCAGCAGAAACAAGTCCCAGTGCCTTTATCAATGGCTTTTTGGGACCCTAGTCTATTTGTCTATTTGGATGCAAAGCTTCCTAGGACTGGATGTGGTGGGGGGTGGACTTCCCACAGGGCAGGGTTTCCTGCCCTCTCTTAAGGAGGGAGAGGGAGGGAGGAGGGGAAGTGGGGGAGCGGGAGGGGAATGGGGGGAGGGGAAGAAGTGTAAATTTTTTGAATGGAAAAATAAAAAAAAAGTATAATGGCAAAACTAACTGGTTCAATAATAGGAAGTACACTAGTATTTTTTTTTTTTAAGATGCATTTTGTTTTTGCTTGCATGTATATCTGTGTGGGAGTATCAGGAGTTAAAGCAATTGTGAGCTGCCATGTAGATACCGGGAATTGAACCTGGGTCCTCTGGGAGAGTAGTCAGTGCTCTTAACCACTGAGCCATCTCTCCAGCCCTAGTACACTAGTTCTTAGGAAGAAAAAAAATGGTAATGAAGACAAAAGTAAATAAAATGGCTTAGTAAGTTGCCCTCCCCATCAGCCAAGTGGTGGTGAAACATAATCCCAGCACTTGGGAATTAAAAAAAAAAAAAAAAAGACAAAAGAATAAAAGAAACCCAAGTGACTAGAGATTCATTTTAAAAAAGTCAAGTTTTCTTTAAATCCAGTGCTTTTCCTGCACCAAAAGAAAAGTACCTGAAAGTAGAAGTCATAAAATACCTACATATTTTTTTTTGGTGGGGGGAAGGGAGCTTGTTTTTGGCTTTTCAAAACAGTCTGGGGGGCTGGAGAGATGGCTCAGTGGTTAAGAGCACTGACTGCTCTTCCAGAGGTCCTGAGTTCAATTCCCTGGTGGCTCACAGCCATCTATAATTAGACCTGGTGCTCCCTTCTGGCTTGTGGGCACACATGGAAGGAATGCTGTACACACAAACACACACACACACACACACACACACACACACACAAACTCACAAAACAGACTGGGTAGCCCTGACTGGCCTGGAGCTCAGAGGTCCGCCTACTGGGAGTGCTGGGATTAAAGGAGTCGCCACTGTGCCCCAGTCATGTTGGAATTGATAGGTCTCGCTGTGATTCACATGATTGTGGCCTTCATACATTGGTTTCCTGTAGATGCCCTCGCACTAGATGATATCCTATGCAGTCAAATTCGGAACATGCTTCTGAGCTCCCGATTCAAGTGTTTGAACTGTGTTGTAAACTTAGGAAGATAAATGTTGCAGTACTTTAAAATAAATAATTTCTCTCTTTTAACAAGGTAGGGTACAGTAGGCTCTCGATCTAACGGCTAATTACTGATTTGACCAATGTAGCACCATAGGTAGCAGCAATGCTGCATCCCCTCACTGCGACACTCACTCCTTATTTTGGTTTATTTTTACTGCAGATTGACCCCTCCACTCAGTGCCCTACCACTGAGTTACATCCTTGACCTTGAACAAAACAAAACCAACTTCTCATCCACATTTTCAAGATTAGCCTTTAACTGGAGATGCTCTTATTTCGGCCTCCTGAGTAGCTAAGCTTACAGGATAGGAGGCTAGGCCTGGCTAGAACACTTTTAAAAGTCCTAGGTAACTGAGAAGTTTCTCTACTGTAGGCTGTTTACAGATGTGTAGGCACTTCAGTGAACAGCGTTAGCTAACCTCAGTAAACAACTAGCATCAACTGCCATTTTAGCAATAAAATCAAGGGTTTTTTAAAAAATTAATTCTACTTTATATGCACATTTGTGTGAAGGTGTCAGGTCTCCTGGAACTGGAGTTATGAACAGTTGTGAGCTGCTGGTGTGGGTGCTGGGACTTGAACCCAGGTCCCCTGGAAGAGCATCCCGTACTCTCAATTGTTGAGCCATCTCTAACCTCCTAAAATCAAGTTCTTATTTCTAATGTAATTATATATTAAGAGATAAATTAGTGACCTAACTGAGGTTCCAGCACTTGAAACCGTAGAGATGGTTCAGCAATAAGAGTACTGGCTGCTCTTACAGAGGACCTGGGTTCAATTCCCAGCACCCACATGGCAGCTCACAGCCTTCTGTACCTTAAGTTGCAGGGGATCCAACTAATTTTTCTGGCCTCCATAGGAACCATAGGAACTTATGTGATGCACACACATACATGAAGGCAAACACTCATAGAATAAAAGTAAATCTTTAAAAAAAGTGCTCGCTTCGGGAGCGCGTATACTAAAATTGGAACGATATGGAGACGATTAGCATGGCCCCTGGGCAAGGATGACACGCAAATTCGTGAAGCAGAAAAAATTAACTGGGCAGTGGTGTTGCCTTCCTTTAATCCCAGCACTCGGGAGGCAGAGGCAGGTGGATCTCTGTGAGTTCAAGGCCAGCCTGGTCCACAGAGCAAGTTCCAGGACTGGCTCCGTAGCTACAGAGAAACTCTGTCTGGAAAAAAACAAAAATTAAATAATAAATAAATTCCAGTATTTGGGAGGTAAAGGCAGGAGATTCAGGAATTGAAGGGTGCCCTTGAGTACATAGGACATTGAAGCCATCCTAGGCTACATGTGACCCATCTCACCTGCAATTAATCATTTTCTATTTGGTTGTTTTCAGTGTAAGTGAAAAGAGCATAATGTAAGTAGGTTATCTTGGACATGCAGCCCTGTTGAACCATCACTTACTCAGACAAAGTGGACTCTAGCTTTGGAGAGCTGCAAATGAGAGCCACCTAGCCAGACAACATCCAGAGTTGTGGCAGAGAAATGATTTCAGTTCTAGACAGTCAGGTTTTAGTACAGTTTGTTTTGAAGCGGTAGAAAATTGGCATCATTTCCTGTGAACCTTTCTGGGTAGACTGCTAGATCTGCCCAAATTGTGTCTTCCTGTACCTTGTCTATTTAAGAACTTCGATTCCTGTTTTGTTTTTTTAAATTTGTTTCTCTTTATTCCCATTGATGGTGTTCTTTTCTGTATTCTTGATTATTTCCTATTGCTAACTAATTCCAAGCCTTCAGTTTCTTTTAGTCCATGCAACACCCATCTGAAAGAATGTGTATGACATTTACTTAGGGTTGGACATATAGCTCCTCCTCGTCAAGATACAAACCAGGCAGGAGGCTCAGGAGTTCAAGGTTACTCTATTACATAGCAGTGGTGGTCAGGCTGTTTTACATGAAACCCTGTCTTTTAAAAAAAGTTGTTGTTGTTTTTTGTTTTGGTTTTTTGGTTTTTTTTTTTTTGTTTTTTTTTTTTTGAGACAGGGTCTCACTTTGTAGCCTTGGGAACTCACAGAGAAGGCCTGCTTCTGCCTCCCAGTACTGGGTTTAAAAGTGTGCACCAAGGAGCCCAACACCTAATAGATTTTCTTTTTTTTTTCCAAGACAAGGTTTCTCTGTGTAACAATCCTAGCTGTCCTGTAGGCTAGGTTTGTCTTGAACTCACAGAAATCCACCTGCCTCTGCCTCCCAAATGGTGGGATTAAAGGCGTGGGCGCTGCCACTGCTGCCACCACCACCCAGCTCCCAGTAGCTTTTATTTTTTTTTCTTTTTCTTCTTTTTTCCCAGTAGGTTTTCTTAAGGCAAAGTGCTTTTATCACGTTTCTTTGCATTGCAAATAATTACTGTGGGGAAGTGGAAGCTTTGGCTAGGCTGTAGAAACAAAAAAAACCAGAAAAACAAAAAAAAGGTTAAAGAAAATAAAGACCTAAAAAGAAATCCAATAAAAATCACTTTAGATGATATTAATTTTAACAAGTTATTTTTACCAGTAAGATACATTTCAAGACAAGAAAGAAGAAATAATTGCAAGTTTATTTCCTTAGATCTAATCTTGAACTTTCCCCACAGGCTTTATACCTAAAGAGTTTTTAAATTATTGGCATATATTTTCAGTGATATAAAAATTCAGTATTTCATGTGATAATTTGAGAATATTTGAAAAATAAGTGGCTTTTAAAGTATGAATGTTTTGCCTGCATGTTTCTGTACCACATGTGTACCTAGTGCCCTTAGGCACTTCAGGACTAGAGCTACAGAAGGTTGTGAGCCACCATGTTGATGCTGGAAATTGAACAACCAGTGCTCTTAACCACTAAGCTATCTCTCCAGCCAATGGGTGTTTAGTTTTGTTTTGAGACAGGGTATTGCATATAACTCAGATTATCCTGGACTTTTCTTGCTTCTACTCCTAGGTGTTGGGATTACAAGTCCCATCACACCAGGACTTGAAAGTAATTTTATGTTTGAAAGGCTCGTGTTTATTTTGCATAATATAATAACTATCTATCTATCTATCCATCATCTATCAATCATCTATCTATTTATCCATCATCAATCAATCATCTATCTATCAATCATCTATCTATCTATCTATCATCTATCTATCATCTATCTATCTATCTATCTATCTATCTATCTATCTATCTATCTATCTATCTGTGTGTGCATGCAAACACCTCAGTGTGCATGTGGAAGTCAGAGGACAACTTGTCAGAACATTTTCTTTTTTTAAAAAATTATTTATTTATTTATTATGTATACAATATTCTGTCTATGTGTATGCCTGCAGGCCAGAAGAGGGCACCAGACCCCATTACAAATGGCTGTGAGCCACCATGTGGTTTCTGGGAATTGAACTCAGGACCTTTGGAAGAGCAGGCAATGCTCTTAACCTCTGAGCCATCTCTCCAGCCCAGAACATTTTCTTCTTCAACCATGTGGGTTCTGGAACTCTGACTCAGGCTGTCAGGCTTGGCAGCAGGAGTCATCTCTTACTGAGGCCCTTACAGTTCTGGCTGTCAATCATTTTCCTTCATGGCATTGATGGGTGTGATGGGATGAAATAAATACTCCTCTTAAGGTGAAGACTTTTTCGATTTTACTTTAAAATATTTCCTGTATTTAAAAATGAAAAAAATAGCAAAACTATATGGATAGCACACATCTATAGTCTAATTGGATAACAAATGGAGGAGGGGGAGTTGTAACCCAAGGCTCTGTGTTAAGTAAATAGACTTAATATGATCACTTTTTCCTCTTGACTATATCTTGAGTTTATCGCTCTTAGTGGGATTAACTTGTAAATTTTTTAGATTATTTCTTACTTTTTTATTTTTTGGTTTCAAGACAAGGGTTTCTCTGTATAGCCCTAACTGTCCTGGAACTCATTCTGTAGACCGGGCTGACCTTGAACTCTGAAATTCTCCTGTTTCTGTCTTCCAAGTGCTGGGATTAAAGGCATGAGCCACCACCACCCAGTAACTTGTGAAATTCTTAAAATCTAAAGTTTATGAAATGGTTTTGCTATCTAAACAGTACCAGGAACTAATTACAATTTTTCATGATTTCTAATCTTTCCAGTACTATCTATACTATCTAAATGGATATGCATAGGTGGGGGCTGCGCATTCATCCGGACCCGAATAACCACACAGAAACCATATTAATTACAACAGTTTGGCCACTAGCTTTTTATTAACTGATCGGGAAGTCCAATCACATTTTGTTTAGGGTGTGTCCCCCTGAGGCCAAGTGAAAAAGATAAAAACATCCAGGTTCCTCTTCTTTGTTCCCTGCACTCCTGGTCGCTGGAACCCTGGTTTTGTAAGGTCCCTTTTTTCTGTTTATTAAAACTAAATCTATTACATTAAGCTGGTCTGGTTAATTCTAACATATTGATCGACCACGCCCCTTCAATTAACTAACTGTTACATCTTAAATTAACCATTTTCTATTAATCTGTGTATCGCCAGAAGACTATGGCTTACCAGTAAGGTTCTAATGTCCTTCTTCAGCAGCAACATGGCTTCTCTAAGATTCGGCCCACTTTCTCTCTTTATCTCTGTTCCGATTTCCAGTCTGGTTTTACTCTGCTAGGCCACTGGCCAAAATAGCTTTAATCATTAGCCAATGAAACAGAAGAACATCGCACAGCGGATATGAGACCTATCTAGGCTAGGAACAGGTAGAGCATAGTCCAAAAATTAAAGAACGTCTTCAGGTAGTCACTTCCACTCTAGGAAGTGGGTGGTCTAGAGTGGAATAAGGTCTTAACAGTATACAAAAGAGGACAAGCATACTTGTAATTACAACTGAGTGGAGTTCTCAAAGTCAATAAAGGTTTAATCCATGAGGAACCAATACAAATAAGAATAGGCAGCAAGGTCAACAGCGCATAGAGAGATAAAACAGCCAGTCAAGTGGTTGAATTGAGGGACATAATGGGATGTTCTAAATCTCTGGGAAAATAAAATGGACTGCCAGTTAATGTGGATTAGGGCTTCTATAAGGCATTAAGGTATTAAAACCTTGGCTCTCAACCTTCCAAAGGCTTTAATATAGCTCCTCATGCTGTGGTGATCCTCAACCATAAAATTATTTTTGTTGCTACTTCCTAACTGTAATTTTGCTACTGCTATAAATTGTGATGTAAATATCTGTGTTTTCCAATGGCCTTAGGTGACCCCCTGGGAAAGGGTCGTTCAACCCCCAGGTTAAGAACCATGGCTTTGTCCATCTTCTGGGAATCAGAGTTCAGACAGGCATTCTGAGTAATGAACATAAAGTCACAAGTGACAAAGTTGGTCAAACTCACACTTTAAACCCACATAAAAATAACAGAATTTCAGCAGCAGCGAGTTCACTTAGGAGGTAAAGGTGTTTGCTGTGTGTCAATGCAATCCTCAAGACCTAAGTTCAATTCCTATAACCCAAGTAAAGGTAGGAGAAAACTGATTCCATAAAGTCATCCTCTGACTCAACATCCGTGCTCCACGCCTTCTGTGCCTACTACCTACCTACCTACCTACACACACACACACACACACACACACGCACACACGTGCGCAATAGAAGCCAAATTTTTGTGATGAAGAGTTTAAAAAATAAATAACAACATAAACTGATATGAAATATTCTACAGGAGTACTCTTGGGCACACCACAGTCATGGCCAGGAACCCTTAAAAGAATCATGTAACTGCTGGGCGGTGGTGGTGCACACCATTAATCCCAGGACTGATGAGACAGAGGCAGGCCGGTCTCTGGAGTTCGAGGTCAGCCTGGTCTACAAAGCAAGTTCCAGGGCAGCCAGAGCTACGTAGTGAAATCCTGTCTCAAAATAAAATAAAATAAAATATAAAATACAATAAAACCACATAACCTTCCAGAAAGCCTGGGGAAAAAAAGCTTCTGGTCGCATGCCTTTGGGGTTCTCTGTGCGTCCCTCCCCCAGTAAAACTTGATGATGATGTAGAAACCGGGATCACCTGCAGCGTTCGGGAAGACCCGGATCCTACACAGAAGGTCAAGCT